AAACTGAAAAAGAAAAATGTCTTTACCCTCTCTGACTGCTTTGCTCCACCTCGTCGCTAATGTGTGTCCAACTTTTCAGTTTTAAAATCCTGACCTTTACATGGCTAAGCTAAGAACAGCAGCTGCTCTGTTAATGGCTGCATCAACTGGACAAAAGTATTTTTGTCTTCATCTGAACCCCTGAAGACTCAGTGGAAGGATTTTATTTTATTTTTGATGGAAATATACCTGCTAAATCTCAGAAGGTTTTGCATTTCAGAGAATTGCTTTCACAAAATTGGTGCGAACAAAGTAGGCTTCTTCACACACCTTAGACTGAAGAGTGAATGGATACCAACTGTCTGTTAGAAATAAGAATAAATATTAAGAATAAGTTTACTGTGTGTGGGTGCTGAGCCAGAAGGCCTGGAAACATAAAAGCAGTGCAGCTCATATTTGGCCCTCAGCTGTTTTTATAAGCAGTTGGTTTTTAGAAGATGGATAATCTACTCTGTGCTTCACAAAGAGTCATTTCTGAACCAGGATTAAACCACCGTAGTTAGAAGCAGGCCGGTCAGTTTAATACAGCAGACAAATGCCATTAGCCGCTCAGGATAAATGTGAGGTGTTGATATATTTCTTTATAGATTGAAAGGTTGTTTATGGTCTACGGTTTCTAGGCGCCTTTAAAAATGGGATTGTTTCATCTTTAGAAGCAATGCTCTGTGCTCTTTGTTGAGATGTTTAGAGAGAGATTTGTCTGTATTTCCCAGAAATAAAGATATATATAATATCCTTGTTGAAAACATAACTGAATGAATGAGCGCCCATCTGATCAAGCTGCTATTGCTATGTGTTGTTATCACATAGGCTGCACAGAAGGGTCTGTAGAAGCCTATCGATCTAGGTCGGTCTTCATCTTCTTATTAATCCCAGCTGTTACCATTCAAAACTCTAACAGGTTGTCATGGTTGTGTTGTAGGGCTGCAGACTTCAGAAGGATGGGGGTGTGGAAAGCTAAAATAGCTTGTTTTGAAAAAATGTAGACTGCCTAATCTGAGAGAAGTTTCCAGCTCAAAACAGCAAAACATGCTTTGGAGGGCTCATCACTAATATTCTTATTTTAGAATGTATTATATCATAATCAGAGTTCTCTAAACATGAAGATATTTCAGTCATTTCCTGTCTATTTGATAGTGTTTTTAGCTGAATTCTACCTTGATAGACTGTATGATCCTCCACAGCTGAAGAAGGAAAACCTTTTCTGACAATGAAGGTCCAAGGATCTCTGTGAAAGAGAACAAATAAAACTAAACAGAAGTGAAGTAAAAGAAGATTAAATAACAAAAAACTTAGAGATAAGGTTAGAATTAGAATGAATCTAAAGGCAGTGGATTAGCCCCTCTGCATATTTGACGTGCACATGTAAAAAATGTCTGTGCTTGTGCCTGTATTCAATTCAATACTTTATTTATCACAAAATGAAATTAAATGTTACAATAATTAATCTTGTTTAAACCAATTAATGTAGATGTTGATAGCTATAGTCAGAAAGGATCTTCTGTAGAGGTCTGTCTGGATCAGCCTCTGACTGAAGAGCCTCTGTTGGTGTCGAACAGTCTGATGAAGAGGATGCTCACTTCTAGAGGAGTTCCTAGAACAGAGCCGGCCTTCTTTATCAGCGGATTGAGCTTCTTTCAGTCATTAGCGCTGATGATGATGATGATGATGATGATGATGATGATGATGATGATGATGATGATGATGATGATGATGATGGAGGCAGAGATCAGACTGATAGAAGATCTGCAGCCTCTGAAAGACCTCAGCTTCCTCTAGAAGTCCAGTCTTCTCTGTCCCTTCTTGCAGACGGCTTCCCAGTTGTGTCTCCAGTCCAGGTTGTTGTCCAGGTGAACACNATGTGCAAATCCCCTGACGGTCAGAGACTCTCCCACTACAAGATACAGCACTGGGACTTGATCAACAGCAGATAATGCACCGTGACGTCACTAACCAGTAGGTGGCAGTAGTGTTCTTTGACAAACATGGATGCCTCCAGTAAAGCACATTCACATGAAAATTACTCTGAATTAAAAACACTGATCATTTATTGAACAGGATGGAATCATTTCAGATTTAAAGAACTTTCAGAAGTTTGTTTTCTGAATGTGATCAGATTTTTCCTTTAAAGGTAAAAGAAACTGTCCTAACCTCTGCTGTCAGACAAATGTAATTCTGGTGTCTGAAACTATCTGGTCCATCTGTGGTTTGTAGAATGATGCAAACTGAGTGAAGTTATGAACATTTAACATCATAAACTTCTGCTTCTTCAGAGGTAACGTCTTTGTCTCTGTGTCGCCAGGATCTCTGCGGAGCCACGACCTGCGATACTCTGGGGATGGCTGACGTCGGCACCATGTGTGACCCTAGGAGAAGTTGTTCTGTGATTGAGGATGATGGTTTACCCTCTGCTTTCACCACTGCTCATGAGCTTGGTAAGATGGTGGTGGAGCCTGAGCGCCTCTGCCTTTCAGACAGGACCACACATTTCCCAGCATGCTTGCTTCACCGCTAACTAGGCTGACTTGGTTTGAGGATTTCAACGTTTTTACCCAGAAACTGTTTCAGACAGCTGGGGGATTTCAGTCCTTCAAATTGTTTGTTTTGGTTTGTTTAGCACTGAGAAAGCTAACCCAGCATTTGTATGTATAGCTGATAACATGACTACTGGGCACTGACTAAAACAGACAGGCTGGAGAGCTGAAAACAATTATTGGAGTTTATGAGCTGATGTCTTGATGTTTGCTGCTTTTTGTCAGGCCTGTCAACAGCTGAGCGCCGTTCTCTGGTCAAAAAGAAAACAATCCTGCAAGCATTTTGCTACTTTTCATGAGAAATGCTCAAAACAACATGAGGATTTTAATTTCCACATTCAGGCTGACATATCTGGTCACCAGCGTGCTTGCTGTGAGATTTATTGACCTGCGGTTGCCGGGTAGAAGTCTTGGTGTAGATGAGTTTTAGGACTGAAACAATTAATCATATTAATCAATTATAGACACTATATAGACACTCTAAATCATGCCTTTAGGTGACAGGGTGACCCACTTAGAGCAGTAATTGTACCAAGACTGTAAAAACTTATAGATATAAAAACTTTTTCATCGGTCAATATCTATCCAGAAATCCACAAGTGGAAAAGTTTTAGTTCTACTTGGTTTTATTCTGTAAAAAAATCTTCTTTTAGCAACCTTTTGCTGTCGGAATATGAATTGATTAATCTAAAAAATAATCGACAGATTAATCGATTTACATAATAATCCTTAGTTGCTGCCCTAATAAGGTTCATTATCTTTACTTTTAGATCATAAACACACTCAAGCATTCTCCAGTTGATGACTGAAGTTATATACGGATAACGGCGTTAAAGCGAGGTGCTAACTGATGTATCTTTAGGTAAACATTTTAGCTGCAGATAACATTACTAGGATTCTTAATGAAATGATAAAACCTGGATGTGAGGTGAGGTCTGAGCCGCCCAGGCATGTCCAGAGTTAGGCCCTCGAGGGCCGCTGCCCTGCAGGTTTTACAGGTTTCCCTGATTCAGCACAGCTGAATCTGATGATTACATATCAGCAAAAGCCTGGTAATCAGCTTCCAATGGAAATCAGCTGTAGTGAAACAGGGAAAACTGCAGGACAGCAACCGACCTCGTAGGGCCGATTTTGGACAGGCCTCTTCCAGGCCTGTTTATTTCAATTTAATGTATTTATGTATCAGCGATTCACAACATGTCATCTTAATTCGATCCTCTGCGATGAGCTGGTAGAGACAGTAGATATTCACTGGAATTGTGTGGTTGACTCTTCAGCAATCCCTCGCACCCAGCATGCATGTAGCGACAGTGGAGAGGAAAACTCTAGGGCTGCAGCTAATAATTATTTTGCAAATCAATTCATCTGTTGATTTTTTTTCCTCCAATTTTTATCTTAAATGCAAATTTGTTGCATATTTTATTTAAAACAATTTTGATATAATTACTGCTCTAATTGGGTCACTATTTCTGATAAAGGCATGTTTTATTCATTATTAGTCGATTACTTAATTTGTTCACAATTATTTCAGTTCAGTTCAATTTATTTCTATAGCGCCAATTATCAACATGCCATCTCAAGGCACTTTACAGTTCAACCAGATCATCCTGTCAAACTGATTAAAAGTTTTCTATCTAAGGAAAACCAGCTGATTGCATCGACTCATTGACTCTTCAGCAATCCCTCACATTGAGCATGCTTGTAGCGACAGTGGAGAGGAAAAACTCCCTTTGAACAGGAAGAAACCTATATGTGAGAAGGAGGATTTTAAATTTTATTCTGGATTTAACAGGAAGCCAATGAGGAGAAGCCAGGATAGGAGAGATATGATCTCTCTTTTTCATTTTCATCAGAACTCTGGCTGCAGCATTTTGGATCAGCTGAAGGCTTTTAACTACAGTTTGTGGACTTCCTGATAGT